ACTATAGGAGAGAAGCTCTTAGCTCATACAAACATAGGAATGTTAAGGCAAGTTGTCAGCAACTGCCAAGATAATGACACTGGTCCAAACTTTGTTAGTCTGCTGTCTTGTGGGACAGTCAGGATTTTTAGTGACAGCTTGGTTTTGCTTACTACCAGACAATCTTAATGTCTTCAGCTGTCAGTACTTCTGTATGTTCATACATTTAACCATCTGAATAATCCAATTAATTTCACTAGCATACTTAAAACAGAGACTGCTTAACTCTTCAGACAATGTCAAAAGCCTTTACTGATGCCATCTTCTTCAAAATGTATCACTTCTTTGCAGTGTGTCTTATTTGACCCCTTATTTTCCAACCGTCCCTCAGCTTTATTAACCATGTATCTCTTCGAAACGACTGGTGGCAGAGACATGCAAATAGATCATTTAATTTCCCTGCAATGTCTTTATCCCCTTTAATTGTTCCCATTGCACCCTGGTACTCCACTGAGCCTTTTGATTCTCTCACAGCCTGCTTACACCTCTTATAATTAAGTAATTTCTTCTTATTTATTTTCATGTTATGCCTTTGGCTAATCTCCCCACCAAATCCCTCAGCTAAACCATCTTCATTTTTGTTTTACATTATTGTTCCTTATCACTAGCTTCTGTTGGGCTAACTTCCCATTTTCCAAAGGATATTTGATGAGCCTCTTTTGTGGTACCTTTCCGTTCAGCCAAGGCAGATAGACACTCTCCCCCCTCCTTTTTGTCTTTCTGGGGCTTGTGCAAATCTTTTGTAACTCATTAGTGGCTCACTTCAGTAGGCTCCATGTTGAATCCTTACAGCACCTTACACATTTCCCTTTGTGTAACAGTAATTTATTTCACTTTTTTTTTTTTTTTTTTTTTTTTTTTGGTTGGAGTAGGGAAGGGAACATTAAGCAAAGGAACAAAAGAGATGGACTAATAGAAAGTGGTTCTGTGTTCATGCATAGAAAATGATTTGGATGCAAATCAGTCACACAGCTGAATGATTTGTCTCAAAGCCTCAAGATTAGGGAGCAGAGGGCTTTGGCCTCAAGTGGCACTCTGTCTGATTTTTATCCAGGCCCTGCATTCACAAAACAGTGTGCCTGCAGACAGCCCACCTGGAGGACTTGTGTGCTGCTTTCATGTCTCCTTGTACTTATCAGAAAAATGTCCTTGTGTTAATTTTGAGTTATTTCCTACATCATGTCTTAAAACTACAAATACATAGAGGGAGGCAGGGATATGGGCAGGGGACATCCAGATTAGTTACACACTAAGGAAACTGGGTACCATATCTTCCAGACAAGTATTTTCTACTTGGAAGTACAGGGAAGTGCAGATGACTAATTGTTTGACAACCCGGTAATTTATTGTGTGTCTATAAATTAGACACACAAAGATTGGAATTCCTCAGTAAAGAGTCCGAGAGGAAGATTTTGTGCTCAATCAAATGAAATATTTCATTGTGATTTAGAGTTTAAGTGTATTACAGAAGATAACTGGTATGCACCATTTCCATACAGCCCTACTGAAATCAGTACATAACATTTAAAAGCATCAGAGGTAGCAGGATAATGAATATGATTTTGAATGTTCTATTAAGGAAACTTCTTCCCACAAAAGAAGCATGAAATCCTTTCTTATCACATTGTGTCCTTGTTTTCTCACCTTCAGTAATACAAGTTAATAATACTGTTAATAATAACAGTAATACTAAGCTTCATTTTAAGATTTGCAACTGTGGGATTGAATCAAGCTCTGGATTAGTCCATCTTCCCCAGTCTATCCAGAAATCCCATCCATTAATGATATCATTCTGTGTAGATACCAACAAGCGAGTAGAGAAGCCTGGCATGTGTGTGAGGATACTTTTGGAGCAACTGCATACCTCTGGGAGCTTCCACAGGGCAGTTCTTGTAGAACGCTGACCCCCATGAATAGAGCTGGGTAGTGTAGGATATATTAAGTAGATATGATCTAGGGGTTCAATCGCTTTTTTTCATCACTGAAAGTCTAATAATTTGATGCTACCGTTTGAAAGTCATCACTCATTTCAGCTGGGAAGTGGGTAGTATATTCATACCACAGTTTTTTGAAATAAATCTAGACTAAAAATAAATGTCAGTTGACAATCCAATTGATATGTCTTCACCTTACATTGTTAAGGAAAGTACTCCTTCAGTTTGTCTGGTTAGCACAGCGTCCCCATACAATTTGGAAAGGTCAATGTTGTCCTGTTACTCCAAATGAGGGAGGGGTGTTCTGGCATCCAGTAGCAACAAAGTTAAATATCTGTAAGCTCTATGTACTGCAAGTTGCCTTAGCAATTACACTTCAGAGAAGCTTCTAACTTAGGCAGAGGCACAGTTCAGAAACAACTTTTTCAAGGGACTGTGTCTTTAGAGAAAGAAAGTACATTTCCACTTGAAACCTGCTGACAGAAAAGAGAAAGAATAAGAAACACTTCACCATTTACTTCTAATAGAAATTCATCATGTGTTGCTGCCACTGAGGGGTAGAGGTCTTGACAGTAGAAAAAAAGTTTGTTTTGACTGCACATAGGTTTTTTTTCTCTCAGGCAGAATTTGAAACAACGCTCTTGTAGACTTAGATGGCTTGTTTTAAATTAAAGAAAACAGCAGAAAAGAATTAAATTAAAATCTCCATGGGAGAACATGGTGGGAGCCTTCCTTATAATAGACCTCAGATCTCATCAAAATTTGAGAATTAAGCAGAAGTAAAGCAGACCTCAATATCAGTGTGTTACAATTTCATTTTACAGAAGGTTAAGCTGTACTTTCTGAAGCTTTACTTGTTTGTTGTTCTCTAGAAGAATCTGTTGTTTGTAAATCATCTTAATGGGAAAGACAGATGATGAGAGTGTCTGATTCAGTTTACTCAGCTGGAATAAGTAGAATAAGTTATTAAGTAGAGTATGGAATAAGTCATCAAATTTTCCAACACACTTTTGTAAAATGCATGAGACGGAAGTAGAGAGTGGCTGAGGCTTCCCAGTACAGACTTCCACATTAAAGAAACCATTTCAACATTTTCTTCTCTGTCACTTGCCATCTCCTTCAGGGCCTCCATGGTTTCTATTTTTTCTCCCAGAGCTGAAGGAAGCCTTGCAGTCAGCTTATTGGTAGCTGCTAACTAATAAGGGGTTCCCCTTTGAGTGGATGCAGATATTTCCCATGTTGCATCTGGTTTGCAGAAAAAAGGTAACAGTCAAACTTTATTGTGCAAAGCCTTGGAACATTCCCTCCACTCAAGCAGGAAGCCAGGGAGCCTAGCTGTAACAATACCATTTTTATTAATATCAGGCTGATTTATTTCCTTTTCTGATTTTCTTCTTTAGAACAGAAAGAAAATAAGGGGACAAAAAACCTCAAACAAACAATAAAAAGGTGATGTATATCCAGAGGAGCAAGGATTTAAACTGATAGCTGGTGTCCATGGCTTCACTAAGAGCAAATCATGCCTGAAAAATCTGGTGTCCTTCTATGACAGGGTTACAGTGTTGATGGATATGGGAAGAGCAACTGACATCATCTACCTGGGCTTGCGCAAAGCTTTTGACACTGTCCTACATGACATCCTTGTCTCTAAATTGGAGGCATGGGTTTGGTGGATGGACCACTTGGTGGATAAGGAATTGGCTGGATGGTCGCACTCAAAGAGTTGTGGTCAACAGCTCGATGTCCAAGTGGAAAGCAGTGATGACTGGCATTCCTCAGGGGCTGGTATTGGGACTGTCGCTGTTTAACATCTTTGTTGGCAACATGGACAGTAGGGTTGACTGCACCCTCCGTGAGTCTGGTGATGAGACCAAGCTTTGCAGTGCAGTTGACACACTGGAGGGAAGGGATGTTCCATCCAGAGGGACCTTGACTGACTTGAGAGGTGGATCTGTGCAAACCTCATGAAGTTCAACAAGGCAAAGTGCAAGGTCCTGCACATGGATCAAGGCAATCCCAAGCACAAATACAGGCTGGGTGATGAGTGGGTTTAGAGCAGCCCTGAGGAGAAGGACTTGGGGGTACCGGTAGATGGAAAACTATAAGCCAGCCATGCGTGCTTGCAGCCCAGAAAGTTGACCGTGTCCTGGACTGCATCAAGAGAAGTGTGGCCAGCAGGTCAAGGGAAGTGATTCTCTCCCTTTACTTCACTTTTGTGAGACACCACCTGCAGTCCAAAGTAGGGCCATGAAGATGATAACGGGGCTGGAGCACCTTCCTTTTGAGAACAGGCTGAGAGAGTCCAGGTTGTTAATTTTAGAGAAGAGAAGGCTCCAGGGAGACCTTATAGTGGCCTTCCAGTACTTAAAGGGGGCTACAGGAAAAATGGAGGCAGACTCTTGATCAGGGAGTGTAGTGATAGGACAAGGGGTAACAAATTTAAACTGGAAGAGGGTAGATTTAGATTAGATATAAGGAAGAAATTCTTTACTGTAAGGGTGGTGAGATGCTGAACAGGTTGCCCAGAGATGTTGTGGATGCTCCATCCCTGGCAGTGTGCAAGGACAGGCTGGATGGGGCTTTGAGCAACCTGGTCTAGTGGAAGGTGTCCTTGAACATGGCAGGGGGGTTGGAACTAGATGATCTTTAAGGTCCCTTCCAACATAAACCATTCTATGATTTCTCCACAGACAAATATTTTCCCAGAATAGCTTAGCTAATATCTATTGTAAGAAATGCCAGAAGAATTGAAAAGGTCTAACTCAGGGTTTATTTTGTCCACCAGTGTGCAGGACTCACCACATCAAACAGAGGCATGTGACTTTCAGAGTGGGACCACGTTAGTGATACCTCTGAAACAACTCTCTTTTTGGAAGAGTTTTACCAAAACAAATCATCATCCCTTGCTCATGTCCCATTCACAGCAAAGCTCAATATCTTGAGGTTTGAAGATAACTGCAACCACTGATTTTTTTTATTTTTTTTTTTTTTTTTTTTTCTGCTTTGTTTTTTCTGCTTTGGTTTTAGGAACTCCTTCATAGATATACTTCGGGCTATCCTACTCTCCTTGGAAGTGCTCATCGAAGATCAGGAGCTTCAGATAAATGGCTTCATTCTAATTATAGATTGGAGTAACTTCTCCTTCAAACAAGCCTCCAAGCTTACGCCATCTATCCTCAAACTGGCCATTGAAGGGTTACAGGTAGGTGGAAAGTAATACATGTACCTGCAACTTTTATTGCTGCAGCTAGCGATTTTGCCTCAGCAGGCACTGGGCAGGGTGAAGAATGGTGGGAGAAAATAATCCAGAATGTTTTAGTGTCCCTTCTACTCACAGCATATAGATTGATTTTCAGACGTTTCTTTTTAACTGTCTTTGGCTTTTATTTCAGCTGTAAATCAGTGTAAACTGTATGTGTGTTACTTACTGCAGCATTAAGAAGGACGGTTAGAGATTTGAGGTTTAATCCATCAGAGGATTCAGAGGGATTAAAATCCAGCAGTGTCTGCCTTCTGGAGTGTGCAGCCCACATGCAAGCACATCTGTATGCAGAGAGAGGGAGGCAGGAGAAGGGACCAGCTCCCTTAGCAGATGGAAGGGTGATGTCGTGGATTTGTGTTGGAGGGAAATGAGGAAGAGTAAGGACAGGCTCCCTGTTGTGTCCTCATTCTGACTGCCTTAATTTGTCACACAGGATCCTGTTACATTATGGCTCAGACTGTTCATGGGCTGCGCATCCACTTGGTGTTTGCAAATAAATAGGAGCAAGCTAGAACCATGTGCTGTCATGGGTTTAAGTGGAAAGTGACGGTAATGCACCTGGGGCCTGATGAGACAAGCTGAGGATGAGGATAAACTGTGGTGCACAGAAAGGACTTCAGTCCTTTCCACAAGAGTCTGAGCCCACCACTGATGTTAGACCTGAGAAGGATTTTTAGGTCTGAAGTACTCTGATACAACCTTATTAACCGTGGGCTTTTGACAGTATCCAAGAACTGTTTAAGTTGGAAATCACTGGAGATCACCTTGTCCAAGCCCCTGCTCAAAGCAGGGCTGACTTAATCTTAAACCAGGTTGTTCAAGGACCACATGTTTCATGTAGTTCCATACTTAAAAGGAGACATTTTGTAAGTCATTGTTTTTCCATTTCATTTTTAGTACTTTTCAGGTATCCTCCAGTCATAAATACCTCAGGAATAATCTTTCCCGATGAGTGCGTATCTGAACTTAAACTCATACACTAGAAAGAACAATTTGTTCAACTCATTTTTTGACTAACAAATTGTCTACAATTAGATCATTACTATCTCTATGTTATTATTCAGAAATGAAATAGAAAAATCCGCCTGCAGTTTTAAGCCTGTTGTGGAGAATTTTCATCTATTCTAACAAATTAGAAAGTCAAGCTGCGCAACTAGTCCCTAGGACAATACTTTATCTTCTCCTGCTGATACTATCATGTCATTTGCCTTCCTTCACAGAGCAACATTCTGTGGTTCAAAAAAACCCTCCAGTCAAAAGGAAGATAAAGCCAAGTGACACTCATAAGGAAACGAAATTCTAGCAAGGTGTCTTTGTGCCTAGCCAAATTTTGCACTTCCAACTCTCTAGTAAGAGGCCAGTCCAACCTTCATCCCATCTGATTCCTGACCATGGCACTGCCGGCTTGCCTGCCTACAGTTTATTTAGTTGTTGACAACAGTATGTTTCTGAACATACCAAAGTCTGGGAGTACTAAAACTGATCTCATGGTTGTGTCATTAGCCTGACATCTTGTGCTGGACAATTTAAGGAGGCTGCTTTTCTTGTTGGTGGGTGGGCATTTAATTTCTCATTTAAAGTGACTGTTGTCTTCATCATAAGTAGAAATACAGCTCTCCCTAAAAAGTACAAATTGGGGTAACATGTACTAGACTTTTCTAACCACTGGTCGGGCTTGATGAGTTGTAAGAGTTGTGATGCACACTCTGATTTACCAGGTTTAGAAGCAAGTCAATCATGCTTATAAAGCACATATTTAGCAAGCGCTGTTGGTAGGGATTTTTTAGGGGTGGGTTTTTTTTTTGGCTTTCACTGTCACTGTTGAAGTACTTTCATTAAGACTTCATTCTATTATTATTTTAAAAGAACTACCACTATCCTAATGTAAAATTTATGTAAAATGTAGTTGAAATGCAGGCAAGACCTACATACAGAAAAAGAAGAGGTGCAATATGAGTTATGCTGGAGGTCACTGAAAGTGAAAAGTCAGATTCTATTCTCATGAGATGATGGCTGAAAAAAATCGAGATTGTTTTAGTTCCTTGTTACTTCTTACAGCTAAGGCACTGTGCATGTACGGATGCTCATACAGGCAGGCTACATGGCTATCCCAGTCGTCCTTTTGAAGAAGAGATTTTGATGATACCAAGTCCTGTGTAAATCTTAAATTTATGCATTTGGGTTTTTTTTCTTTCTTTCAAATAGCTTTAAGCCAATTAATATATTGTCAGTTAATTTTTTCCCTCAAATTGCTGCTGCAGTGCCTTATCACTAAGTGCAGTGAACTAACATTACACAGGTGCATATGTTAATTCATCCTGTGTTGTAAGACCAACACGAGTCAAATCTACTAAACTTGGCTGCAGAGATTAATATGTTGCTATAGGATGCTCAGATCCAAATACTGCCAAGTCTGTAAATGCTGAGGGATGTGAAATATGAGTTACATCACCACATGGCTGAAAGTACATTTTGCTCAATACAACTTTTTCTTCTGTTTGGATTTCTGTATGTATTACATCACACAAAATAGTTCATTATAACTCAACTAGACACCTACTCTGTTTCCCAGTTATTTATTCAATAACCTAAAAGTAGCCTAATGTTTGGACTTTAAGCAACAGCTGTTCAGATCCTAAACAACATTCGTACAGTACGGCAATTCTCATTATGCCACAGCATCACAAGGACAAATGTGTTCTTAATGCCTAAACCACCTCTAATTAATGAGCTCTGCTCTTTTATCACAAGGCAATAGCTACTGTATGCTTTGAGCTCATACTGTACTCCTTCCTAGGCCTTACTGATCTTTTCAGTTCTAACACATTAAAGAGAAGATTGCCATGTGGATGAAGAGGTGGGGAGATGTATTTAAGCCCCATCTATTTTGCCAATAACTTGATGAGTTTTGACTTCTGATCCTTATTCTTTTAATGTGAACAGCTTTTTCCCTTCACAGCACATTTCTCCCCTCTGTTCTCTTCATCTGTGAAGTTATACTTCTCTGTGTGTCGTGCTGATCTTATAATTATCCTGTGATGGTAGACAAAATTTAATTGTTGCTTAAGTTAACCAGAGACTGATCCTTTGGCATTTTGTATAACAGTTTAGAAGTATGAGAGTTTAATGGCAAAGGCAAGAAATGCGTGTTGCAATCATGAAGCAGGTAAAGCATGTAAAACATGGCCACTACAATCCTTCTTAGTATGCAGTATGTTTGCTACTGACCACTGCATTTGAAGAGCTCTAATAAACGTGGCAATTACAGCTGAAGTGTGTGTGTCACAGTGAACATAGCCTGGGTGTCCAGTAAAGCCCTTTTTTTTTTTTTTTTTTGATGCTGGTTGGGTTTTGCTCAGAGGGTGTAGTTACTTCATCTCCAGACAGGATTTTTTATTTTAGGGTGCTCCTAGGGAACCACTGCTTACTTCCACCTTATCCAACACCAGAGCTGTGTGCTGCAGTTGTGTAAATGCATGCTCACATCCATACAGAAATTCCCCCAGCTAGTCCTCTGGGTTGAAATGGAACAACTTCTCCAAGAGCATCCACAAATATTCCAAAACTTTCAGACCAGCATAAGGTCTGATCTCACCTGTCATTGCTTTGGTGAAAACAAAGCCAGAAAGCCACTGACTACCAAGACCCAGCTGAGTGGCTTTACAGCACAAATCAGCAAGCTGGATTCAAATATCAGTTTTGCACTCCAGCGTAACTAGTACTGCCTTACATAAAGGCTAACTTGCCCCAAGGCCATCTCAAGGTACTCAAAGAAGTAAGGTGAATGCTTATATCCTGGCCATATTCTTTTCTTCTCTGATAATTCTGTAATATGCAATTGTGCTCACATAGGTGAGGATAGTGACTCTTAAAAAAAGCCTTATGCCTACCTTGTGACAATGATGAATCACTGCAGGAATGAACTTTAGAGTTCAACAGGGCTTTGACTCAAATTTCACAATCATTGCAGCAAACAGCAGTAACAGCAGGGAACAACCAAGATCAGCAAACAGGCATTTGTCCCCAGATTTTCTTTGGTAATAGCCAGACAGAAGTTACAACCAACAATGTCCATTAGAAGATCCATTAAAGTTCTTTAGTTGGGGTTTTGTGATTTTTTTTTTTGGTTTTTTTGTTTGTTGTTTTTTTTTTTTTTTAATTATCTTCAGTTTGTCATCATCCAGTGAAAACTGGAAACTGATATTTTTGAGAGGTGAGGGAAAAGAAAGGAAATCAATGATACTTGACTTAACACCTTAATCAGATACTGGTACTGATAAAATTATTCTGAAAAAAATTCTTCAGATAAGGGAAAATTTTATAAGCTTCTCTTAGAAAATTGTTTAAGGTACATTTGTCCAGAATACCTCTGATGCTGAGATCAACTCAGACAATCTAGATAACAAGTTTGTTTGGACATTATTGGAGGTTATCCCACTTCAAAATCTGAAATGACAATAGGGAAAACTCAGCCTGCTTAGAATTATATGAAGCTTTTTGATCTTTAATATGAGCAATAGTTTAAGATATGGGGTTTTTTTTTGGCAATTCCCTCCTACTGTAAATATGTGGGATCAAGAAACTTAATGTTGGTTAAATTATAGCAACAGATTACTTGTCTCTTAACACTATCTTATACAATCAGGTATTTTTCATGTTGTGCTTCAGAAGGAAGAGCTAAAATATAAAATAGGCTCAAAAGGCAGACTAGAATATAGACCTTGAAGGAAAAAAGTTTACTTCATTATTATGGCAAATAGATAATTTGTTATTTGTTTGTTTTTCCAAATCTTAGTGAAAAATATGAACTTTTAGAGCCAATAAAAGTTTTCCAATGAAAAAATTATTTTTTCCGGAACAATGCCGTGTTTTCAGAATGGAAGTATTACAGTGAAATATTTTCCAAACTTCTCTGGAAAAAAATCTGAAAATATGTTTTT